AACTGAAGATTTATTGATATTAGTTACAGCTCAGAGCTCCTTTCAAAGCGAACTAGATGTTTGCTGGTCTTGTTTTTGTGGTTGTTTGCAAGCACCCAATGCAAGAATATAAATCTGGTTGAAACATGCCTTTCTGTTATTTGTACTCAAAATCAGTCCAGTAAAACTGGAGCATGACTTTCCTAGAGGGAAAGAATTTGCAGTTTTGTAGTACCTTATGTCGGAACAGATTAATATGTTTCAGAGAAATTACTGTAAAACTCAGTGACATTTTGTAGGCAAAATCAGCAGCCACACAACCATGAGCTGAGACTGATAAATTAATCTGATGACTGTTGGTCAGAACTGTGAGAAACTCCCCTCTCTATTCAAAGATATTGGATCTTTAACATCCACCTGAACAGATTGGCGAGGCCTCAGTTTTTGGTTTATTCTGAAGGACAATAACAATGCAGCACTAGAATGTCAGCCTTTATGGCCAAGCAACAAAATAAATGTTCTTGATTGAATAGGCCTTGATTTATGCCAAGAAATATTCAATCAAGAAAAAAATGAAAACACATTTCCGATCGAACACGGACTTAACTAGACTTGTGCGAATGTTCAATGGGGTGCTTCTTGACAGCCTCTCAGGCCATTTCTGGCTCTCTGGCAATAGGTTGGCCAACACTGGGCTAGACTATGCCCTGTTTGCTATGACTGTGAAACTGTAAGCTCAAGTCCTGTAGTTGGGCCTGAACCGATAAGCTGCTGACTCACATGCAAATGAGACAAATTGGCACCTCTTCCAGGTTTGCCAGACCTTGTTCTGGAAATGATTAATGACCCACAGAATTTTTCCCGTAAAAGACAGCCACACTGTCAGCACCTCCACTTCTGTGCCACACTATTTTTTATCATAACGTGTTCACCTACAAACACAGTCACTGCACTTTATTGTATATCCTGTGGAACAGTTTGAGACAGCCTTCCGAGTGAAAGGTGCTATAACAAAATGTAAGGATTATTATTATTACAATTGTTAGCACAACCCACTATCAGGATCACTAAAGTATGCTGTTCCTGAATCTGGCGTTCCTATCGTAACAATGATTCCCTATTTATATTACTGGATACTTGAAGCAGTTAAAATCGTTGAAACATTGCGGTGAAGTAACCTGACCCTATCGGTGCTTATTTATTGCTTATTCAGTGAATCAGAATATTGTATTTTTTTTCCTGCTGATGAACCTTCCTTGATTTCTGGAGGAGATCTGTTCAGCTTTTTCTTTTTTCTGATTCTTCCATCATCTTGTTACTTGGATCCTCCGATCCTCTACTTACTTTCAAACAGTGTGTTTTTGGGAATGAATTAGTGAGATGTTAAGGCAGCAGTCACCACTGCACACTTAATTCCTCAGCACCCCCCCCCCCCACACACACACACACACAGCAGTAAGATCTTTCACAAAGTAGCACAATCCTATCTGTTCAATGATGGCATGGGAACAGTCGCCAATGTGCCAGGCCACAAAGAATGGCGTAATATTTGTCTTGGATGAACAGATGGGAAGAGGTGGCATTATCACCCTGAATAACTCAGCTTTAAAGACAACCTCAATCTTCAGGGAGGAGATGTTTTTTTTCGGGTATAAGTTTAAAAATGCATAGTTTAGGCAGATGAAAGCAATCTAACCCTAACCTCCACCCATTTATGGAGTCCTGTAGCTCAGTGGTTAGAGCACTCGCTTTGCAAGTGAGAGACCTGAGTTCAATTCCAGGCAGAGGGCGAAACCTTGGGCAAGTTTCCTTACTCCACATAGAGCCTAATAATAATCCTCCAAAACCAAAAACAATAATAAATTGGTCATTTTCAATCCACGACTGTTTGTGGGACATTGCTGTGTGCAATTGGTTTACTTTACGACACTACTGTGGGCACAGCGGCTCCGGACGCACGTGTGGTGCGAGCAGGAAATGGGCTTCACTCAACCCGAGGCCCCACTGTTGAGATGGTCTGTGTGTCTCACTCCTCTATATGTGTGTGTGTATACGAGTGCGTGAGTGTAAGTGTCTCTGTGAGTGTGTCTCTCTAAGCGTCTGTGAATGTGTGCTTTTTTCTCTCTCTGTGTCTGTGACTGTGTCTCTCTTTGTGTCTGTGTGCGGTGGTGGGCCAAGAGGCAGGAGGAGATGATCTCAGGAGGCCCACAGTCAAGACTAAACCCCCCCCCACCTCAGGTTTGTTAAACAAAAATTTTTTTTTGCAACATGGTAATATGTGTTATTTCTTTACGTTTAGTTATCACTAAAATGTAGGTTGGCAACAAAATGTACCTCTCAATACCACCAACCAACCCCCTCAATTTCCCGTAAATTTTTTGTCAAATTTCCCCATAAATTTTGGCAAATACTTCTGCAATTTTCTAATGACTCTGGACATGAGCCAGGGTTGCTTTGCTGCTTGCGGTTGTGAGGGAGGAGAGTTGGAATTAAATGTGAAATCATGAAAATGCTTTTTGCTTCCCTCCCCATTCATAATTGTAGGAACAGAAACAGGATTAGGTTTTTCAGCCCCTCGAGCCTGTCCCGCCGTTCTATCATGTCTGATATGTACCTCAGCTACAATTACTCGCCCTTTCCCTGTATTCCTTGACACCCTGACCTAACAAATATCTATCTACCTCAGTCTTAAAAAAATATCCACAGCCTTTCGGGGAAGAGTTCCAGATTTCCACAACCACTTCATCTATACAAATGACCTGGACTTGGGTATAGGGAGTACAATTTCCAAGTTTGCAGATGATACTAAGTTAGGAAAAGTAGTGAACAGTGAGGAGGATAGTAACAGACTGCAAATGGACATAGACAGACTGGTAACATGGGCAGACAGGTGGCAGATGAAGTTTAATGTGGAGAAATGCAAAGTGGTGCATTTAGGGAGGAAGAATGAGGAGAGGCAATATAAGCTGATGGTACAATCTTAAAGGGGGTGAAGGAACAGAGAGACCTGGGGGTCATATAAGTAAATCTTTGAAGGTGGCCGGACAGGAAGATAAAGCTGTGAAAAAAGCATATGGGATACTGGGCTTTATAAATAGGGGCATAGAATACACAAGTCAGGAAGTTATGATGAACCTTTATATAAAATACTGGTTAGGCCTCAGCGAGAGACTGTGTTCAGTTCTGGGCACAACACTCTAGGAAGGATGTCAGGGCATTGGAGAGAGCGCAAAGGAGATGTACCAGGATGGTACCAGGAATGAGAGAGTTCAGTTATCAGGAGAGGCGAGAGAAGCGAGGATTATTCTCCTTGGAGCAAAGGTTGAGAGGAGACTTAATAGAAGTTTTCAAAATTATGAGGGGATTGGAAAGGAGCAACAATTTGCACTGGTAGGTGGGTCGGTAACCCGAGGACACCGATTTAAAATAGTTGGTAAAAGAAACAAAGGGGAGGCGAGGAGAAATATTTTCACACAGTGAGTTGTTCGGATCTGGAATGCATTGACTGAAAGGCTGGTGGAAGCCAATTCGATAACAACTTTTAAGAGAGTAGATAATTATTTGGGGAGGAAAAGTTTGCAGTGCTATGGGGAGAGCGGGGGAGTGGGATTGATTTGGATAAATCTTTTCAAAGAGCCAGCAAAACGTCCTCCTTCTGTCCTGCATAATTGTACGATTCTATGATTCACTTGGGTGGACAACTGCCTCCTGATTTCACTCCTTAATAGCCTAGCTCTAATTTTAAGATTATAATAATAATAATAATCCTTGCATTTGATATAGCGCTTTTCACGTCAGGAGGACGTCACAAAGCGCTTCACAGAACACACTGTATTTGTGGGCGAACGCGGCAGCCAATTGCGCACAGCAATGTCCCACAAACAGTTGTAGATTGAAAATGACCAATTTATTATTGTTTTGTTTTTTTGGAGGGATTATTATTAGGCTCTGTGTGGAGTAAGGAAACTTGCCCGAGGTTTCGCCCTCTGCCTGGAATTGAACTCAGGTCTCTCACTTGCAAAGCGAGTGCTCAACCACTGAGCTACAGGACTCCACTGTATGCCCTCTTGTTCTAGATTCTCCACCAGAGGAAATAGTTTCTCTGTATCAACCCTATCAAATCCCTTTATTATTTTAAAAACCCAAGTCAGGTCACCGGTCAATCTCCTAAACCCAAGGGAATAGAGACAAAGTTGTCCTCATAATTTAATCCTTTAAGGCTTGGTATCATTCTGATGAAACTGCGCTGCACCCCCTCCAGAGCCAATATAATTCCCAAGGAGCCCAAAATTGAACACAGTAGTCTAGATCGGGTCTGACCAAGGCTCTACATAGTTGAAACATCATTTCTTCCCGCTTTCTCTGTATCAACCCTATCAAATCCCTTTATGATTCCAAAGCCCAAGTCAGGTCACCCGTCAACCTCCTAAACATATCTCGCCCACAAATATACGGTCAGTTCACTTTACAGTGTGTTCTGTGAAGTGCTTTGGGACGTCCTCCCGACGTGAAAAGCGCTATATCAAATGCGAGGATTATTATTATTATTAAGGAAGACATTCCAACCCATTCCCGTCCCCACACACACACACACACACTCGCGCGCGCGCCCTGTGGACGCCGCCACGCGCTGACTGCGCCGCAGACACCGGGCGGGACCCACGTGGTGCTCCACTCAATGACCGACACAAACCTGGGCGGTTCGGCCCCGCCCCCCGGCAAACCGACCAATAGACTCGCGGCGAAGCGGGGGGTGGGGTGGGGGTGGGGCGGCGCCAAGGGGGGGGGTGGGGCGGGTCCCGGGCCCCGACCAATCGAAAAGGAGCGATTAACCCGCGCAAAGCAGGAGCTGGCGCGGCGCGTGCACGCGGCGGGGGGGGGCGCGCGGGAAGCGACGCCTGGGAGGGTGAGGGACAGCCGCCCCGGCCAATCAGAAAGGAGGGCGCGAGTGGCGGACGCGCGGAAGGCGGGAGCTGAACGGAACCACGCATGCGCGCGGGCACGCCTACCAGTCCGTCTCCTCCAAAGATGGCGACGTAGCGTCAGCACTTTACCTCAGGAGCGAGTAGCTTTGACAGTCAACGTGGTGGTGGTGTGCGGAGAGTAGAAACTGAGTTTGTTAAAACCGTTTTAATTTATTTGTAAATTATTATTTTTCTTAAATACACACACATATATATATTTAAACTAAAAAAAATCGCACACCACCACGCGCTGCGGAAAGATGCCTAACATTAAGATATTCAGCGGGAGCTCTCACCAAGATTTATCGCAAAAGATCGCTGACCGCCTGGGGTTGGAGCTCGGTAAAGTGGTGACCAAGAAATTCAGCAACCAGGAGACGTGGTGAGTGGGAGTCCGCTCGGCCGCCGAGGCCCTCAGGTGGCGGGTGGTCGTCTCCCTCTGCGATGGCGCGTGGTGGCGGCTGGAAGAGGCGAGGTGTTCGCGGGGCACGCCGGGACTTGTAGTTTCTCCCCCTCTGGAGTCTCGGCCGTCTGTCGCCGCGTTCTGCCTCCCGCGACTACAACTCCCAGCGGCCCGCGCGCCCTCCCCAAGGCTGCACGTTGCCCTAGAACTCAAATTGGTCGAGAGCGCTGAAAGGGGGAATTAATATTAAGACACGTAACACAATTTGGGAAATTGTCTGCAGCGAATCTCCCAAAAAGGCAGCCTACGCCCATTTATTCCTCACTTGGTTTGCATTGTTTGCGGGGTGGGGGCGCGAAAATGCGATTTAAGCCTTTTATTTCAAGCAATTTCTCATTGTTCCATGTGGCTACCTGCCTACTTTTCCTTAATAAGATAATGATCCTTGCATTTTACTACAGCGCTTTATCACGTCGTTGAGACATCTCAAAGTCCTTCACAGAATTTACTTTGTCTATTGTCTATTTTGTGGGCGAAACATGGCAGCAAATTGTGCACATCATTGTCTCACAAACATATGGATTGAGTGACCAAATTAATATTTGTTTTCAAGGAGAGTGGAAGAGGGTTGTTTTGCTCTTGTGGATGGGGTAGTTGTTATCAGGGAATTGCACATGAGAGATTTTGAACACCATATTTATAAAAAGTGAGATTTAATAAAAACAATTTGCTTCCCTCCCCCATTTATAATTACAGAGCAAGTCTCCTTTGCAAAAGTGAGTAAGCTAAATGTTTCCTCCTTCAACATAATACATGTTCTCAATTAACTATAAACATACAGACCAGAGGATTTTGGTCAGATCTGATCCTCTTGTTGATTTAAAATGGTTGATGTTGGTGGAATACCTAACCACAATATAATTTTAAACCATAGCCTTAACAAACCCTCTATTTGCTATTGAATGTGAAACCTGGTGAAATGCTCTTAAGAATATGGATCCAAGTTTATTTCCCAGTAGACAGCTGTAAATGGATAGAATTCTTTATGCTGAAATATCTAGCTTGCGCTGAATTTTGGATTAAATGTAATTTTTGTTATGCCCTTTTTTAGGGCATATTTATAAACATAAATATATTTCTTTTTGTAGTAAATGTTGAGAAAACTACATATATGGCAATCGTTCTTGGCACTGGCTGGCATTTTGTGCAGTCACAATCGTGTTCGATACTGGATTTAGTTTTGTCATGTGAGAGGTTTATTTGTGCCGCCATTTGTTATTTTTTAATCCAGTGAACCTCTTGGTGTGTACTTTCTTTAAATCAACCAAGTCTCAGTCCGAGTTAACTTGAGCTACCTTCAACATCTAGTGATAAAATGCAATTAGTGCTGCAGATCATCCCAAACTCTGCAGCTCGTGTACTCTCACGCACCAGGCCCCGCGACCCCATCACTCCCACCCTCCCCTGACTCCACTGGCTCTGCATACCCCAGAGGATCGAGTTCAAGATCCTCGTCCTCACTTTCAAGGCCATCCGTGGTCTTGCCCCCTCCTACCTCTCTGACCTGCTGACTTCCACCAACCTGTCCGCTCATCAGGCTCCGGCCTCCTCCATGTCTCCCGCCCTACCATCGGTGGCCGGGCTTTCAGCCTCTCTGCCCCCCACCCTCCATCCCACGGTCCTATCGCCTCGCTTCCTCCCTTGCCTCCTTCTCTTCGATTGTGCTTTTGATCTCCCTCCCACCTTTCTGCCTTCTCTCACCCCTCCCCCATGCTTGGGCCCTGACATCTGACTATTCAGTGCTTTGGGACGTCCTCCCGACGTGAAAGGCGCTCTACAAATGTAATTTTGTTGTTGTTGTCCTCTTGGGTAGGAGTTAGTTTTTTTAAGAAAAATAATAATAATCCTTGCACTTGATATAGCGCTTTTCAGGTCTTCTAGACATCTCAAAGCGCTTCACAGAATATACTGTAAAGTGAAGTGACTGTATATTTTGTGGGCGAAATGCGGCAGCCAATTGCGCACAGCAGTATACCACAAACAGTCGTGGATTGAGTGACCAAATTAAAATAAAAGCCATTGCAAGTGATCTGTAGACAAATGTTGCTTGAATTGATTTTAAAGACATTTAGTGGAATGAAATCCTACTCTATGACTGGCTAATCACTTTGTACTCTGCATACTTTGACCTGAACTATTATAATCCTTGCATAACATTGAAATGTATAATATTGAAATATCTCAAAATTACTTCTCAGGTAATTAAGCGTATCAGGACACTACCTGCATGAAGGACACTATATAAATGCAAATGATCAATTTATCTGCAGGATTACTTGTCAGGACAATGGGAAGAACCAATAGCGGATTGGTGTATTTTATATGCACTTGGGACCACAGTTTAATAACTCAACCAAAAGTTGGCATCTCCAACAGTGTAGTGCTCCCCCAGTATTGGTGATTCAACCTAAACATAGCTCAAGCTATGTCATGAGGTTTGAATCCACAGAAATGAGAAGTGCTATCAGGTTCAGATGCTTCTGTACGGCCTATTCAATTTTAATTTGTATATTGCTGTATCTTTTATCAAGCAGTTCGTAGCAATTGCTACAAACTGCTTGATAAAAGCAAGTTGCATTGATATACGCGCTTCTCAAGGACGGGTTTGAACACTGAGATAGAGGGAGGTGGCCATAAGCATATTCAGAGCAATAGAATTTGTGGTGGGACTGAGAAAAAGAGGGGAGACCCTGAGTGGTAGAGGTTATGTGGTGTAGGAACCTAAATCTCAGCCTGTCCATGGATGGTGGTGTGGTGATGGTGGTCGATGTGCATCAAGCTCTAGTTAGCTGAGCAGAGGAGTAGGGCAGGCGGAGATTGGAGAGATAAGGGGTTGCCTAAGCACTCAGGGATGCTACCATACGTGTGGGACACTATATAAATACAAGTTGTTGTTGCCAAGGATTAGGACCTTGAAATCTATCCTCTGGAAGATAGGGATCCATTGGAGACTGGCGAGGAATGGGGTGATGGGGCATCATTTGGTGCGAGTGAGGATGCAGTCAATAGAGTTTTGGATGAGTTGCATCTTGTGAATGTTGCAGCTCAGGAGACCAGTGTCGAATGATTTGGAAAGGTTTGTTGATGAAGGTGGGTCTGAGTGTTTCAGCAGACAATGTGGGGGAAGTGAAGGAAGGCAGGCTTAAACGCTGACCAGATCTGAGGTAGCGAGGAGAACTGGGGTTGAACTGGATGCCAAGTCTACACACCTGTTTGGAGAGGTTCAGTAGGTCAGAGCCAGTGAAAAGATGAGTTGCTGGGAGCCGAGGAGAATGGCTTGTGTTTTATCCATATTAGGATTGGAAGAAACTTTGGCTCATCCGGGTTTTGGTAATAGATAGGAAAGCAAGCAGAACATCGGTAGACCTGGAGTCAAGAATAGAAGTGGAAAAGTAAATGTGGGTGTCATCCTGTGGTCGATTTCTCCATGTCGGTGGATGATATTGCTAATAGGGTGCAAGTTAATGAAGAAAAGAGAGGGCTGAGGTAGTCTGCAGATGACTGTGTCGGGTGGGAGGAGAAACTGTTGGAGGAGATGAAGTAAAGCAGTGGGTCAAGTAGGACTAGAACCAGAAGCGTTTGATCCCAGAGGCAGATGAGGGAAGAGAGGCAGGATGGAATTGTTAACTATGTCAAAACCAAGTAGAGAGGTCGAGGAGGTAGTGGGAACCCTGGTCACAGAGAGAGAATGGCATTAGTCCTTTGACAAGGGCCTTCTCTAGGGTGTGAGCAGGGCAGAAACTGGAGTGGATAGAACGGTGCGAGGGAAGACTTATTCCATGATTTTGAATAGGAAGGGCAAGGTTGGAGATGATAGGGATGTTGGAGAGTTTGGAGGGAACACAGGTAGATTTTTATGAGGAAGTGAATTTGATTAGTTACAATGTGGATTTAAAGGAGATGGGAATAGTGCCGAAAGAGAGAGACCAACAGCGACTTCAAAATACAGTCCAGGCTGACACTCCAATCCAGTGCTGGGGCAGTGCTGCACTGTTAGAGGTGCCATCCCTCGGTTGACCCATTAATCCATGGTTCCATCTGCCTATTCAAGTGGACGTTAAATCCCACAGTCCCTTTGCCTTGCTCCCTCCCTTTCCTCCTTTAAAGCATGCCTCAAGACGCTTTTTCGACCTCATCTTCAGTCACCCTCCTGATCCCAACCCCCTGCTCGGTGCTACACAAATATATGCTATATATACGAAAGGCACTATACATATGTAATTTGTTGTTGTTGTCAAGGATCTCATAACACTATTTGAGAAGAGCGTTTCTCCCGGTGTCTTGGTCAACAATCCACTCAAAAAAGATTGATTACTCACTTTGTAGCTGTGGGATGTTGCTATATGCAAATTAGCTGGTAAATGCAGTCATTACATTTCACAGTAAAATCATGTGAAACACTTTGATACATCTAAACGACTTTGTTAGGTGCTATATCAAAAGTATTATTAATTTTCTGTAGGTTTGTTGATGTTTGCTACGATTTCTTGATTATTTCTACACTTTCATCTTTGATTTAGGAAATTACTTAACCTTTAATGTTCATCTTTCATTGGTCTTGCAATGTAGCAAAGTTCTTTATTGACTGTTTTTACATGGTCTACTGTTTTCTCATGGGTTAGAAGTCGGTGTTTGGCTTCAGGGTCATCTTATCTTGGAAATTGTTATCTGAAGGGTTTATGTCCAGCCAAAATTTGATTGGATTAGATGTTAATAGGCCAAGGTTAGTGAGTGCTGACCAGTGTTTGTGGATAGTAATTAAAGCACTGGTGCAGAGAATACTAGCAAATTAACTAAAAGCCTTTCTTTATGTGCTGTCAGCTACTGATGTGTACAGTTTCAGCTTGTCTTGGCGTATTTTTTCAGGTGCTGTTGTAGCATTGCACGACAGCATCAGTTTCTTTATGCTTGTCTCAATT